CTAATTGTTCAATAGGTCTCATCAAAGATGGTAAACCTGAAAAACTTGGTGTAGCAAGGTTCCAAGCAAGGCTGCTGTAGCGTGTTCATTGGATCTTAGCCTCTCATCTAGCACGGTTCTCCTTGGGCAACCAAAACTTGCTGCAACCTGAAAGGTAGGGCAGTTTTTCAGAACAAAAGCAACAAAAATAAATCAAGTGCATAGAAGATTGGTATTTGCAATCAGAATCATAAAGGGAAGAAGAAAAGATACTTTAGTTCCAGCAACAAGGGTATCAGGATGAACAATTAAGAAATTATTTTGATGGTCCACGTCACACTTGCCATCCCCGTCAAAATCTCCAATAACATTGATTGAATCTCCTGGTGATACAGTGCTGTAAAACCTGAGAACAATAATCATTCAGTATTCAGGAAGCAACATAGACTAGTTAACCAAGTTTCAACAAGCTGGGAACTGAATATGCTATCAACCCACAACTGGATACTAAAAATGGTCAGAGCATTCGAGACCAAGACATCAAAGAACAAGCTGTAGTATATTGAATGGAGGAGCTTAGTCCATTTGCTATTTTTGCAGCAATTTGATCTGAAAAAAAACTATAAAGATCTCCCTAAATTTCATATAAGAACGTACCATTCATCCCAGAGATACAAAGCACATTCTTTTCCAGTGTGCTCGTCTAGCAGGCGAAGAACCTGAGAGAACTTTGGTCAGGAAATATAAGCATGTAAAAGAACGAAACCCCTAATACATGACAAACCTTATAAGGACAGTGAACCTTAGATGAGCCAGCCGGGCCACGTTTCTCAGATACCTGAAGCACAACTCGGGACAATGAGTAACTTTTCGCATAAAAAACGACATAGCTACCTCAAGGATCATAAAGGCCAACTGTACCTCCAATACAAGGAAATAGCTATCTGGATTTATTACAGTTTGATTTTTATGTAGAGTAATTGGCTCTCCATCTACAGCGTCCTCAACGACAGAACAGATGTTATCATCTTTAATTTGAACTTGGGTCGTCACAGTCCCCACATCATCAGCTGTTTTGTCATCAACTGAGATGACATCCTCCACTTGATCTAGTAGTTCAAGCAACGCCTACAAAAAGAGGTAATATATTGGCATGCTGTAGAAAACAAGTTCTACAGAAAATAATGCATGTAGTCTTGATCAACCACAGTTGGAAGTGGCGAAACATATATAAAAAAAAAGTCTTTGGTAAGCATCTGAAGACTGCATCAATTCTCAAATCGTACCTTTTTATGTTGTCCAGTGCCCGTATATCCACAAGCTTCGCTGCATGTTACAGTAGAAGGAACCTAATATAAACAGAGTAATGTTAGGAAGTATACAAAATGTGATCATTAAGCTGTTTATCATGAAAGAAATTCACCTTGTTGTGAGCGCATGAAAGTGACGGTGGGGTCTGGAAAGGACTGTTTCCACTACTAGATGTGTTAATTATTTCGAACTCCGCATCTGGGGAAGGATTTACCCTTTCCATGACCCTATTTGCTACAAAAGCTGGTCTTTTGAAAGCTTTTTTTGAGGGTGAAGATAACCACTGCTCAACCTTGGAGGTTATATCTGATGTATGACATTGTTTCTGCACTAGAACTATCTGCTATCAGTTTCAAAGCGAGAAGGGAAAGGAAACAGCTATGGAATTTTCTGTGAAGAAAAGATAAAAGAAAAGGAAAAAACCAAAACATGCCTTGTCCAGAGAGCAAGGGCGAATGGTGGAAGATTTAAACCCTACTGAATTTTCTGTCAAGTCCATCATCTTAGGAATTTGCTTAGCAGCTGCCCGAAGTCTTTCGTTTACAGGAGATATTTTCCAAGTTATCTCTTCACCACCATCATCTTGACTTTGCTTTATCAGCTATCAAGATAAATGAAGCATGTAAGAATAACACGACCACTAGGGGATAAACCATATTGTCAGATAGGTTAGGGTAAGTAGAACCTTGCAACTACATTAGTCAGTATTCAAGTGACTAATTCTCACAAATTAAACAACAAAAATAAGATATAAGGAAATATAAGAAAAGAAACCACCATTCCAGGAGAGAATTTGAAGCGCTTAAGGTTTTTGGAGAGTTCAGGAGATTCCTCCATAAGTTGCTGGTCCACATCTTTGGACTCATCAGGTTTCTCATCCAGCGTGCTTGGAGGATTTTGAGGCGTTAAAACTCCGGTGTTAGGGCCAACCCCATTCACATTCTGGAGATCAACTGGAGGGGCAGTGGAGGTACGAGAGCTGGATTGGGAGTTCTGAACATGCCGAAGGAACAGCTGCTGGATGCCAAAATTGGAAGGCTGTGAAGGATTGGCCGAAGATTGTTTGTTTGATTTCAAAGCTGAAGACTTGGGCTTCTTCCTTGGCGGCATTTCCAATGGCTACTACTGGCACCCTGAAATTCTTCTGATAGTTCAATCTTAGAAAGATTATCTGTAAGAGTCTTCCAACAGTATACCAGAAGACAGGAAAACCCTAAAGAAGCAGAATTTGGAGATTGAGCAGCATAAGTGAAATTAAAACTTTGTGCCCCCTATTAACTTTGCCTAAAACTACAAACTTAATATAATCATTTTTCATTGATGCATTGTAATGTCTTATGGATTCGGATAAATCTAAATCTAAAACTCTAAACAATAAGCATAAAAAGTAAAGACCCCTTCTCGTGATCACGCACGGAGGATCAAACAAAAAAAGTCCTGAAAGTAGTTGAAAGAGCAGTACCAGTAACTCTGAAAATCCAACAACTTCCAAAAACAATCGAGCTCCTACAAACCTAGACCCAACAGAAGCTTCCATAAACGAACTTCGATACCTCTGAAAATCGCAAACGAAGTTGAAAATTCAGACCGAAATGGAGAACCCAAAATCGAAAAGGAAACTGTAGAAAACCAGATTTCGTAGACTAACCCAGTCACGGAGGAGTAGAAAGCAATT